GCTATCCGTTGTTTGGTTGGGGTCACCAGCCATAAGCTTGGCTTGCTCATTTTATTCACTTGGGACTCAGGGTCCTGGAGACCATCTGCATGACATCATCACACGTATTGAGGCCAGAGCCCTTATTGATTCACAAACAAACGTTAACTCACAAATACAGCTCCGTGGAGAGACAGACTCCCTGGAGACAGTGTCTAGTGTGGCTCTTTCTGTTACTTAACGAGTCAACAAATATGGCCTCCTCCCTGGGGGACGGACAGCGGAGAAGTGGGTGAGGGAGACGTTGGATGGGGAAGATATGCTCAAATAATAATAATTTATAAATTATCAAGGGCTCAGGGGGAGGAGGGGATGGGGAAGGAGAGGGAAAAATGAGCTGACACCAAGGGCTCAAGTGGAAAGCAGGTGTTGTGACAATGATGAAGTCAACCTATGTACTAATAATGTGCTGGACACAAATGACGTATGTATGGATTGTGATGAGTTGTATGAGCCCCTAATGAAATGATTATTTAATAAAAAAAAAAACAACTCTGTGGATTATGAATGAAAGCTGCCAGTGAGAGAGATCACCAGATAATTCTCATATAAGCATTCCACTTAAAGGCTAACCTTCCCCAGAAACCAGTAATTTTCCATCCTTTCAGAGGCATCCAATTAACTTTATGAAATAAAACGATGTCTTCAAAGCAAAGAGGATCAAAGTTTATCTAAATTAAAATAATAACTAGAGTAAGAGTCAACTCCATGATAGCAAGATGGGATACCGAGATGCAGGACTGGTGGGAGGGAGAGGTTGGGAAATAACTTCAAGAAGCAAGATGGCTTTGGAGCCCGTATTCAAGTCTCAGGGATTGGAAGCCAAAGAAAATCTGGAAAGAAGCAAATGCCTTCATTAGTGGAAGGAAATCCTGAGGCATTTGCTTTTATCTTTCCAACGCTAACATTGTGGAATGTGGCTTGATCTTTCCAACTATAATGAATACCGAAAAGAATTTCAAGCCATCCATGACCTTTCTATTTTTTAAAACAGCATCTGCTCCTTTCCCTACTTCGGAAAAATCCCAAGACAAAGGTCATTCAAACCTGGTTGACTTCGGAGCTGGCGAGAAACTAGAGACTTCCAGAGCAATCTGTATCACCCTCTCTCCAATAGTTCTAAGGAAAAGGAAGGAATGAAAATGGAAGGGGATCTGCAAAATCAATATCCAGAAAAGTCAGAAATACTTTACCCGGAGTTTGTGTTTTGTGGTTAGCCTGTGACCTACAGGGAGATGTTTCTGTCTAAAGTTAAATGATGAGTCCAAGTCTGAAAAAACACTGGGAAGAGCATCCCAGAGGACTCACCATCAAAGAGCGGAGCCTGTTAGAGAATTAGAAGTAATTAGTACCGCTGACCCACAAACCTCACAATGGGAGCTATCTGGGGCTTGGAAATAACTGTTGCCGAGTTCCATGCAAGACCTCCAGGTTTTGTCCTTTGGGCAATTGTTCTCCTAATTTTTAAAATCAGATTTGTGATACTATCTGATGGACACATTAGAAAGCTCATTCTTGCAACAGTAGGGAAAAGAGTGCACTCAAGGAGGAGAGAGAGAGAGAGAGAGAGGAGACTTTAGCCACGTGAAGTCAAGAGAAAAGGGCATGTGTTTAAATAAGAGCAGAGTTAATCAGGAAGGAACGTGTCAGATAAATGAAACATTCTTCGAATGTGTAGGTGACTTAGCACCAAGATTGAATCTGTATGGGGTGTGGACAGGGGAAGGGGCAATGGAGACTGATTCTAGATAGCTGGGCATAGACATGTTCACCAACCAGGGATTCCAAAACAGCACCAGATCTTTTGTGTGTGGAGACAATGATTATGAGTTTAGAATTGGACTTGGCAGGTTGAAATCCCTCTGAGATTTTCAAATGAAGTTATCTATACAGAGAAAATCCAAAAATAAAATGAAAGGCCTACAGGTACAGGAATGTGAGCCAATTGAAGCATTTATAGAGACTATGATCTAAAGCTACCAGATGTTGCCAGAAAGAGGCAGGATCTGGGTTATCTATGCTACCAGTGTGGGTCACAGTGGCAATAGCAAAGTTGTGGAGGCAGTAAGTCTGTCTGCAGCTCTCTGATTTAGTAGTTCCATGGTCAATAAAAAGACACAACTCCCTTGGCAAGCCAGGTCCTGACTTTTCCAGTATAGAATACTTTTCTATACTTTTCTAAGCTCAGTATAGAATACTTTTCTCAGCCCTGCCATTGATTCTGTGTGCTACAAATCTCTCAATACAATCCTTCTTGGTAAACAAGCCTAAGTGGATTATATTGATCGTGTTGATGAACTTTGATGAGTACAAGGCCATTGGCTCGATGGACATAGATAATATTGCTTCAGTAGAGCACTCAATGGAGCTGAGTAGTCTGCTCCATTGGGTTTTATTAGCTTCAATATAATCGGAGCAGGTCATCAGGCTCATCTTCTGCAACACCGCTGGGTGGATTGGAACCATGACTCTTCAGGTTCGCTGTCTATCACAATTACAGTTCATCTTATAAATAAAAGAGACTTCAAAAGGGATCAAGAAACAAAAGTAAGATTAAAAAACAAAGAATAATTAAGAACCTACCATTGTCATGGAAAATAACTTGCAAGTTGGAGACATACACATCAGAACCAATCATTGCAGATGCATAAGTAAAATGAGGGCAAAAGTATCAACTAAATTTGGCAACTCAGATAATACTGGTGACCCTAGTAAGAAAAAATGTCATAGAATTTTTTTAATTGGATTCTATATGGAAGTATCTTGGAAGTATGATTTTTCTCCTGCTGGCTGATACTTCTCTATTATATAGTGTGTGAACTTGGTGCTAAGCTAGCTATAAGCCCACAAAATATACTGAACTTACACAATTCAGATACAGAACACACTTGCTATAAGCTTATCTGCTATTTTCCCATCCAGTAGATACCTGTCATTATCTATTGAATATCTAATATGTGAAGAACACAATTATCATCTCTGGGCAATGAAGAGATTTATACAAGTTTCCTGCCTTCAAGAAATTTACAATATGTTGAAAAAATAGTTAACCAATGACTGAATCAGTGGAAAGAAGGGAAAAGTTAGAGATATACAGGGAGAGAAATTCCCTGTGTAGTCTTAAGTGGCTAAATAGGGAAGTAAGCGTTTGAGTTAGGACTTTGAAGGAAGGGTAGACTATCTACAGGGCATGCCAGATAGAGCACTGCAGTCAGAGAGAAGGTGGCAGCTAAAGGCATGGGAAGAAGTGTTCACAATGCTATGTGGTTGCTTGAGTTGGTTGATAAGTAGTGTGTTTCTGAGTTACATAGATAGATACGTACATATACATACATACCAATCTGGGAAGTTAATAGAACAATAGTGAGTGAATATATTGGTGCTGGATAAGAAAACCAGCTAAGAGAGAATAAGAATGGGATATTGAGGAAAGAGAAGGGAGGGCTGATGTCTCTAAAGACAGATGTGAGAAATACCACCCAGGAAAGTAAGATTGAAAGATGACCACAGGTCTGGAAGTTAGGGGATGGACGAAGAGTAATCATTCCTTTGACATATACAGAGCATCAAAATAATACGGGTTTTAAAAAGAAAACAAATCGCCATGTCTTAGAAACATGACTTTTTTTTTTACATGACTGAAGCCATTAGAAAGGTAACAAGCACACTAACCCATCCAGGGGAGAGTATTGTTTATGTCTCCAGGGGAAAGGGAGCAAGGGACCAACCTTGAAGGCAACATTCCTTCTGGCACAGAGCAGAGAACTAACAGAGTTGACCCCTCCCCAGAAGAATGCACTACAGAGGATGGCAATGAAAATATAGCCCATGGAGAGGAGCATGTCTGCCCAGATCACAGGGAGCAAACTAAGAGAGAGAGAGAGAACCGCATCCTAGCCCACCAAGCCTCAAGGATGACATTCCTACTTGAAGCAGCCAATGCACAGAGAGCACTGTAGGACCAACCCCACCATGAGACACAACTTCCTCTCACTGACCCATAGTGCTATGGGGGACAGCACTGGAGACACAGTGGGGAAATTGTGCCTGGCCTGACATCCCCACCCACCCCCCTGCGCCCCTCACTGGAGTGAAACACTAAGGGAGCACAACAGAGCAGCAAGGGGAGAAAATCAAGGGAGTTTCCCAGGAATTTTGAAAACAGACTCCTAATTTACAGGGAGGGCTTGGCACCTCATCGGGCTCTATTGGAAAACATTCAGAAATGTCAGCCGGCAGACCTGGAACTATTTATAGGCTTTTTCTTTTTCTTTTTTCCCCATGTCTATTTATATAAGATAGGCGGGATTGTTTACAATCCCAAGGAGAAAACAATGGGACCGACGGTTCCAAGAGGACATAGGATAGGAGGAGGTCGGGGAAAGGGAAGGGAGAGCCAACAAACCCAGAGACAAGGGAACAACAAGAGATCTAAAATCAATGGTGAGGAGGATGTAGAATGCCTGGTGGGGTTTGATCAAGTGCAATGTAGCCGAGAGGAATTACTCAGAGCCGAATGAAGGTCGAATATGATAGTGGGACAGGAAGAAAGTAAAAGGAAGTAGAGGAAAGAACTAGGGGGCAAAAGACGTTTATAGAAATATA